GTACGTTACGTTACGTTACGTTACTTACGTTACTTACTTACTACTAACTTAACTAATTAGTACGTACAGAAGAACGACGGAGAGTGTGTGTGGAGGAGAGAGAGAGAGAGAGAGAGAGAGAGAGAGAGAGAGAGAGAGGATTGTTTTTTTATTAGTTTTTAAAGTATTTATTTAGCCTTGGGAGGATGGTTTTCGAGCATTTTAGAAACCTATTGTGCTTGCAGAACAGGAAATGCCAAAGAATAGGGTTGGAACGCGTCCTTCGAGTTTAATGTTTACGAACTAATACAGTGAACAACGTTAAAAAAGAAACTGTTTACGAAATAATACTTGAGGGCGAGCATAACTCCATTAATCTTCGTACACGCATAAATCCTCAACTTCCCACGAAAGAAAAGGATGAATATCCCTCTCTTTATAATTGGGGAAATTTATCAAAAATACCTAGGAGAGCATTTATACTTTACCCAATTGCAAATCTTTTTTTTTATTTTTTGCTCTTTCTCACAGGATGAGAAAGAGATGAGAGAAAGATGAATGTTCCAAGGGAGGGAGTCCATAGGTGAGGAAGAGAGAAAAGCGAGTTTTTATAGGGTTTGAATGATGGGATCATGACAAAAATAAAAAGGTTAAATATTGTAATGCAGACAAAGGAGGGGATACAAAGAATAAATGAAAAAGAAAGTGAATTAAATGTCGTTTTCTTTTAACTTCGAGAGGATGTATGCATCTAAGGATCAATTTGGAATTTTAATTATAAAGGGGAGTATTATGTCTTTTTCCTAAGAAATAAAACGAGGGCTTTCTATGTGAGATCCACCCACATATATGATATATGTGACCTTTGGTCTTAACCATCAGATCGGAGTGGATGGCTGAGATTGCTTAAGTCACAATGTTATTTAACCATCTGATCGGCTGAGATGGCTCCAGTCATTGAGATGGCTCAAGTCACATTGTCATGTAACCATCAGATATTGATGAGACAACTCAGTGTTTTGATCCGATCTTGAAGAAAAATTTGGAGCATGCATAGATCTAACAAGGGTGCACATGATAAAAACGTTAAAAAAATATTTATGCTGATAAACAATTTACTATAATACCCTTGAATCGAATGGCCAAGAAGCGGGATGGAATATAACTTATATATTGTTGGGTCACATAGAAACATTTCCTAGAAATAGAATCCTACTATTATTTACATAGTATGGAATCCTACAATATAATTAGCCGTGGCCCTTCAGAGATTGGGCTGGACTATGGAATCCTACAATATACTTAGCCGTGTCAGGCTTGGGCTTGGGCTGGGACTGGTCATAGTCCAGCCCAATCTCTAAAGGCCACCCAAGCCTGATCACCTTGGCTCAGGCCTAGTTTACAATCTGGCCCATTGCCAGCCCATCTCTAAAGGGCCACCCAAGCCTGTTCCGACCGAAGAAGCCTTGGCTCAGGCAAGGGCCACCCAAGCCTGATCGGACCGAAGAAGCCTTGGCTCAAGCAAGGGCCACCCAAGCCTGACTGATCGGACCAAGAAGCCTTGGCTAAGGCCTAGTTTACAAGGCTGGTCGGGCCACTCGGCCCATTGCCAGCCCATCTCTAAAGGGCCACCCAAGCCTAATCAGACCGGTTGGGCCACTCGGCCCATTGCCGGCCCTAGCTTAATTTGCTAGAGAGAGTCAAGATTGATGAAGCTGAACTCCAAATTATTTTAGTAGAGATTGTAAACCTACATTATAAATGTAAGTATGTTATTTTGTGGGCCTCCGGCTTATCTCCCTGCCCTGGCGTCAACATGATGTCTTTGATGAGATCACACCTTGTGGGCTATTTCAATCTCTTGGGGTCATGTATTCGGAGAAGGCAACTCGGAAGCAGACATTTTAGCCAAGGAGGGGGCTTACTTGACTGTAAAGTTCTATACCATTAATACTATTATAGTTAACTAAAAAAAAAAACCTACATTATAAAAATGCCAAATAAGAATACTTTCCCATAACTCCAACACTCGTATCTTTGTGTGCAGATTGCCATTTCACTTATCCCACCCTCTACAGAGAGTGAGATAGAAGGGCGATAAGTGATTGGAATCTAGTCAACTAGATTCCAATCATAAAATCATTGAATATTGAGCCTAAATTCCAGCCACAAATTACAGAAGGGTAAAATTTTCTGATCATAAGATCATTGAAGACAAGTCTAAATTAGAGCAAGTGACAAACTACAAAAGCAGAAAATCTCTCATGTGTATAAATACAACTGACCAACTGACTCCTGCCCCAACCAGAGGCAAATGACCAAAGGGAATTGTCGAGAGAAAGATTCTTGGAAAGATTCAGGGTAGATGGTTGTCAGAACTCCCCATGGGTTCCACCTGTTGGGCAGCAAGGACCTTGTCAAGGGTTTCATCAGGAACTTTAATCCCAGTGGTCTCCAGATCCGCGATGATAGCAACAGCAGCATCGAGCTCTCCAAGATCAAGACAGTGTGTGATTACTTCATCATACAAAGGACTGCAAAGAGCAAAGTTCGTTAAGGATAAAGCAGTTCAATCAAAAGAATCACTACGATTATTATAACTCTGTTTCCATGAAGGGCGATGAAAACTATTAGTCGCGAAAAGACTTGTTGTAGGATTATCATTTCCGAAAAGCAAAGCACACATACACCAGTGGAATATGTTATACAGTTCCAAAAAGAGGCATCCAACATCTGTTGCTGATGAAGAGTGGTGGCAGTGACGACTCATTCTACTGGGCCCACTGGATGTTCACCCAGCACCAGTTAATATCTGCACCATATTTTCATAACAGATGGTGCATGCCCTTTCGAGCAGTGTATCGCATACACTATTGGACAATGGTATCCCCTCTTTCCCAAAATGCAAAGGATTAGGATTCACCTGCCAAATACATAGTCGAGACTATGTGTTGTTTGCAAGATTGTGAGAAAGGCAGCTGGTAGTGGGGCTCTTATAGCGGCGCGCAGTATCATGGCACAATCTCCAATAGTTGGTTTGCCACCCAATTCAATTACCTGCAAAATTCCGATCCATACTTCCATTACTTTGTCATATTTCTATGGTCGAGATCCCCTCTTCCCCAGGCAATGTAAAGTATTCATCATTTGGGGTGTTAATTTGGAGATATAGAAGTTGAAAAGAGCTCAAAATCTCTTGGCATGCAATTTTAAAAGGAAAAGAATCACAAGAACAAATCTTCATAAATAATTCGAAGTCCAAAATAAGAAGAATGGCATCTAGTTTATAATAAGTGACTATAGGTTATTCAGTCTGCTATGTAAATATCTACACTTACCCAACACACACACACATACAGAGAGCAAGAGAGAGAGAGAGCGAGAGAGAGAGAGAGAGAGAGAGAGAGAGAGAGTACGAA